AAAATTTTTTAAATGCTGTGAGGAACAACCCTCTCCCCCCTTTTTGGTCATAGTTCACATACAAGAACACCGGTGTGTGTTATAAATAGAAAAGCATATTAGTACTTGAATCATTGCTCAAGAGTGAAGACTTTTTTTAGGAGCACATCTATTACATTCAGTTGAATACATTATCCCATGTATGTGTGAGATCCTATTGCTGACACCAATGAAATCCATTTATGTTTTTAATGCTTCCTAAGCATTTGAGGGTATAGTGACTACTATGTGGTTTCTGCCGTTGCCCTCACGTCTCTCACTTTTCCATAGTGTCCACAACTCACTGCGTTTTGTGAACCCACATTGTGTCACTTGCCTGGCTTCTGCAGGCATCTAAGCTTCAGACACTTCACTTATAGCCGTGTGTCTCAAAGTAAGTTCCACAGACACCCAGTTTTAGGGTTGGTGTTGGGGATTCTTGATAAAATAATATAGTAATATGATCTGGAGAGGAATGCTTACCTTAATCAAAATTGATCCTTTTTCCCCTAAGACCGGTAGGACACCTGGTCCTCAGTCTTCTCCATTGGTTGCTCCAGTGTTAGAAAGATAAAGAATGGTCTGTGTATTACCCAAAAACCCACTCTAGCTCCCTTGAAGATCTCAATAATAAGGGCAGTGTGTGGATGCAATAAAAAGTAGTATATTGTCTGCTGCAAATATGACTTTATGGTGCTGACCTGCAAATGCAGAAGTAGAAAGAGAATAATTCCGTGCAGGATAGGCTTTGGTTATATTTGTTAACTATTGCATTCATTCAATACACAATATAAAAGCCCCTGCCATGTTGGACTGCGAAGGTGGGGATAGGGAAAATCTGTTTAGGCCGTGGGAGACTTAAGAAGGAAGATCAACAGTTCAGGGCCATCTGATCTGCTTATTTAGAAGGAGGCAATGAATGCCATGGTAAACAATTATGCCAGCATGGCTCAGGGCACTTCAGCCCTTCCCATGTAATTCTCCTCACTCAGCAACCCGGGCAGGCATATTGTGGATGGCAGAACAACCCCACTGCAGAACCACTTGGAGTGCTTGTCAAATGCAGACTGGGTGGTTCAAATTCTCCCTGGGATTCTTATGCCCAGTAATGTTTGGGAATCATGGGTTGAAGTCCTGACTGCCGCTAGGAGCTACACGATTCATTCAGACTCTCTGTTTCCTCATACTCAAAAAGAAGGGAATACCCGTCTTGCGGTGTTGCTGTGAAGATTAAAGGAAGGGTCCACGGGTGCCTTACTCAAGGCCTGGGCAGCATAGTGTTGAAAAAATATTTGTTGAATAAATGAATGAATGACACATGAATAATTCAGAGAACATTCGGCTCACACAATTTTTCAGTTTTTTTTTTTTTTTAATTTTTTTTTTCTCAACATTTATTTATTTTTGGGAGAGAGAGAGACAGAGCACGAATGGGGGAGGGGCAGAGAGAGAGGGAGACACAGAATCAGAAACAGGCTCCAGGCTCTGAGCCATCAGCCCAGAGCCTGACGCGGGGCTCGAACTCACGGACCGCGAGATCGTGACCTGGCTGAAGTCGGACGCTTAACCGACTGCGCCACCCAGGCGCCCCAATTTTTCAGTTCTTAACAGCCGTCCTGGCATATAGAAAACAGCCTTGGCAATTACAAATCAACACAATCAAACCTTTCCTGAGTTTAGGAAACACCCTCAGAAAGTTTCGGGGAACCGTAAACGAGAAAATACCATGTTAGGGAAGTTTACAGGTGCCTAACAAAGACTTCCTCATTGATCAGGTAGTTGGTGAGGGCTTCTGTGAGAGCTGAACACTTCTACCTCTTTAGAAAATTCAGTAAAGAACAGTAGGTAGCAAACTGGTTCTAGAAACTGACAGTATTTTCAACGTAATTTCACTTTGTCTTAGGTAATTTACATTTCTTTTTGTGTAAACAATGAGAACATAATCATCTTTATTACTGCATTATCATCCTATCAGTGGTTGGGAAACCCTTCTGGATTGCTGGAGTCTGTAAAATCTGAAAAATGTGATGATTATATTTAAACTACGGTGACTTTTTCATTAATGGACTAGTTATTTTATATTATGTAACATTCCCATGTAAGAAATCACTCACATTTGTGGAACTATTCTCAAAGTTTCACTGGTATGTCTACAGAACAATGCCTGCACAGCCAACAGCCCTTGTGTGTGTGTGTTTTTAAGGTTTATTTATTATTTTTGAGAGAGTGCGAGCGGGGGAAAGGGCTGAGAGAGAGGGAGACACAGAATCCGAAACAGGCTCCAGGCTCTGAGCTGTCAGCACAGAGCCCAATGTGGGGCTGGAACTCACGAACTGTGAGATCATGACCTGAGCTGAAGTGGGACGCTTAACCGACTGAGCCACCCAGGCCCCCTGCCCTTGTGGTTTTGAACAGGTGAAAATTATTTTTGAAGCTATGGCTTTTTAAAATGTTTCTAAAGTGCTGGGAACAATTGCAAGGGCATTTTAGGGGGGAAATGTGTGATGACAGAAAATGAAAAATAGCTTACAGCAAATTAACTTTCAAAATGTTATACTTTTGAAGGCCTTGGCAATAGACCACCTCCCAGAACTGAAAGCAGAAACTTTTCCTTACCAGTTCCAAACAAACCTCGACCACGGTCTCCTGGGGAAGAAGAGGTAATAAAGCACATGTTTTTGTGTTATTTTATTTTTTCCCCAGCAAATAACCAAAGCTCCCATTGTATACTCCTTTGTATTTTTATTATTATTTAAATTACCTTTAATTTTTTTTTAGTGAAAAAAAAAAAATTAAAGGGGAGGATCCAAATGAAAAATATGTTCTTTTTCCTTGGTATTTTTCCAGGCTCTTCCAATAGCAAATGTGTGCTTTGTATTTAACGAGAAAAATAATCCTATTCTTCATTTGTCTTCTAGTTTATGACCTTGAGTAAGTCACTTAACTGCTCATTAACCCCAATTTTTTATTAAATATACTATAGCAAACTGAAGAAATTATACATCTCTATCTTTCCTGATTAAAGGTTCCATTATATACGGAATGCTTATTCACAACTACCTTTACAACCATGATAAAAAGCAGTTCATGCAAAATATCTTCTATTTAGCCCCACCTAAGTGATTCTATATTCAAATTAAGAAAGCAAATGTTTCAAAGCTCATGGAATTGAGGTGGTGATTTATGAAAATGATTACTTGGAGGCTTTTCTTTTCGCTTACACATATAACTGCAAAATTTATTCAGTTTTTAAAAATTTACATTTTCAGAACTCATTAAATGAAGAGTGGTACGTTTCTTATATTACCCGACCAGAGGCGGAAGCTGCTCTTAGAAAGATAAACCAGGTACTGTGCCAAAGTTTATTTTTAAGTAGTTATAAATATTAATGGGAGGAGAAAAAAGGAGCTGTCTTTTATTGAGCACCAATTATGGGCTAGGAATTCTGCTAGGTGATATTCATGCTGTTATACCAAGGGGACCCATTAGTAGCAGATTTACACCCACCAGCATCCATAGCAATGATTCCCAGGATCTGGGAAAAATCTAAATTAAGGCAGTCATTCAGCTGGCAGAATCCAAGGAGCTTCTATTAACAAAAAGCATCTGTCTTGTCACAGGAAGCATACCTTATCAAAAGGAGGCCCTTTCCCCCAAACTTCTAACATCTTACCGTTAGCATCTTCATTTTTAATATACAACTGCCATCCACTGATGTGAAGGGATCCATTATGGAGACAGGCAGCAGCAAGTTTTTGCCCTTTCCCCTAGAAATTTCTAGCTGTTCTTAACCAGATTTCCTGTGATCTGGCACCGAATCTTAACCTTAAATCTATTTATCAGAGAAAGAAGAGCAAAGATCCTTCATCTCTCACATCTTGAGTCTATAAGAATAGTTCTCAATCTTTGCTGCACATTTAAGTCACCTGAGAAACTTTAAACATTCTGATTCCTGGATTTCACCTGGAGAGATTCTGATTTATTTAGTCAGGCATTTTGTGTGGGTTCTGGGTCTCCAAAACTCTAAATTCTAAATTCTAGGCTGTGAATCACTGGTCCACAGGTGTATTTGTTGAACAGAAGATATTCTGAATGGAATTTACTCAACTGGAATAAGAAGAACAAAGGAAAGCCATTATTGCAGATTGAAGGCTCTTTAAAGCCATCATGATTCAGTATACAAAGCAGGGAGTGGTTTAAACACTGCCTTACTAATTAATCTTATTTTAATATTAGATCTTTACAGTATTAGTATTATGTACAATAATTTATGGAATGACATTTTAAAGTACAGGACAAATCACACTATTTCAGTAAATAGGAAAAAAAGGTGATAAGAACACAAGACAGTTCACATTTATGTTCAGATATTTAATGGTGAACATTTTATGTGGAGATCACGAGGTTTTAAAATGGATGAATGTCGGGGCGCCTGGGTGGCGCAGTCGGTTAAGCGTCCGACTTCAGCCAGGTCATGATCTCACGGTCCGTGAGTTCGAGCCCCGCGTCGGGCTCTGGGCTGATGGCTCAGAGCCTGGAGCCTGTTTCTGATTCTGTGTCTCCCTCTCTCTCTGCCCCTCCCCCATTCATGCTCTGTCTCTCTCTGTCCCAAAAAATAAATAAACGTTGAAAAAAAAAATTAAAAAAAAAAAAAATGGATGAATGTCATAGGCATTTGGGTGTTTTCTGACTTTGGCTGTGGAAAGTAAGGGTTAGGGAATTAGTTCCCAGGAGTAGGAAGATAAATCTTTAGTTAACCAATAAAGTCCTTATTTTGTCTGGCCCTTTGTCCACTCAACCACCTGTAATTTGTTTTATAACTGAAAAAAAAAAAAGCGACTTCTTTTTTATCAAGAGACTTCAAAAAGTCTCTTTGGAATTTGGAAATTTCTCTGATACAATCTTTGCTGCCTCTTGACAACCAAGAAATCTGTGACACATGGGGCTGTAACGGTTCAGGGCACTAAATGTTCACTGTCTTGGCAACTGGTAAGTTTCCAGATCTCTCGAGGCTTGTCTACTGCTCTTACAGGCAACAGAAGTATTGCCATTTATTGCTCACGTAATAATAAGAATTTATTCTTTTAGGATGGCACTTTTCTCGTTAGAGACAGCTCTAAAAAAACAATAACCAATCCGTATGTCCTCATGGTGTTGTACAAAGATAAAGTTTACAACATCCAGATCCGTTACCAAGAGGAAAGCCAAGTTTACTTGTTGGGAACTGGACTCCGAGGTAAAGAGGTAAGGAATTTCAGTTGTAAAATGTACCCAAATCCTTGTTTATGCTATTCTGCATACCTACCTCTATGGAAACTTGCTGTAACATTCTTTGGGGTTTCATACTCTCCCGCAACTTTACAGAGTTAAATCACATTGGTGAAGCCCTTCCTTTACTGGAAGGAAATAAAACAAAGTAACAATAGCTACCTCTACCATGGCGGTAGCTTATATAGCTTATATCTTATATCTTCTATTCCAACTAGTCTAAAATCACATGTGTAAGTTTTAAAATTAAAAAAATTAACATTTAAATTAAAAAAAAATATACAGTTAGATGGTATCAGAGATAAGCCCCCTCTTTCATTCACCTCTGTAACATAATTTTAATGTAAGATTGCAGTGTATTTACAAGGCTGTATTTTAAAATTGACATCTGGAAAAGAGTAAAAAAAATGGAATTCTTGTTGTGGTGATTATTTCAATACTTGGGTCATTTCTCACTTGAAAGAAATTTTCCTCTGTTTGGTCAATGTTTATGCTAATTACTTTTTGGATGGTAATCAAAAAAACTGCTTCTGCAAGGAAGCTAACAGCTAAACTTAAGCCCCAAACATGTTCTTTAAGTTCAAAGGTCCAAGAGGAGGATCAGTCGAATCAAACATTTCCAGGATGAAAAACAGCTAGTAGCCCTTAGACTCTACTCCAAAGTTATGATCATGTAAATGAGTGGAAAAAAACATGTGATTCTGGTCAAATGTTTCAATCACTAGTTCAGTGTGGCTAGAGCTGCATCGTTGCTGTAGAAGCAGAGAGATAGATGTCTGCCCTCCAGAATTTGTCGGTCTGGTGTGGAAAAACAGAAGCGCTCACCACAGGCCGCAGCCCTGGAAGGCGGCATCCAGCAGAGTGGTCTTGGAGGAAGCGCATAATCCTGTCTGGGGACCAGATGTGATTCTGACCCATGTCTAGGAGGCTCGATGGGTTTTATTCCAGCCTGGCCATCAGGGATAACGTGATAAAGGCAATGGGTGTGCAGACTTGGCTGCAGAGTCCTGGGGAGTGTAGAGATGACAGTGAAGGCACAGCAGAGAGATCCTGTAGGAACCATTGTGCAATGCTACAGGTTATCACCTCCAGACACTAGGACACTGTCTGCCCTCCTGATTCCTTATAGTTCCTCCCACTATTAGTGATTAAGAGTGAAGTAGGGATACAGAAACCAAAATCAAAAACACAAACAGAGCAATTCTAAGGCAGAGGTATCACAGTTAGACCTCCTATATATTTATGACCCCCATGAAGTTAAAATACATATATACATACACACAAATATTTACATTCTTTTATCCATAATTTGTTGGATATTGAAAAATTATTTTTTCAAAGTTCTGTAGAGAAATCATGAAAATATTTGCCAAATTTTACATATTTTTCCTCACCATCCTCATAACTGAAGAGGTAGGATCTTATGCAGATAAAAAAAAAAAAAACAAACTGAGAGTGAAATTCAAATGCTTGGCTTCTCTACTCATTCCAACGTTGACTTATCTCCTTATTTTGAATTTTTAGGACTTTTTGTCTGTGTCAGATATCATCGACTACTTCAGGAAAATGCCACTTCTGCTCATTGACGGGAAAAACCGAGGCTCCAGATACCAGTGCACGTTAACGCATTCTGCAGGTTATCCCTAGCAAGTTAGCCAAGCCGACGAGGAAGCTTCCTCCTGGCTATGCTGCCATCAGGGGAAGATCAGTCAACCTTGCTGAAGGGACCAACACTTAGGACTGGATCGAACCCCTCAACGTGAACACAGCGTTTTGACCTTTCGCATAAAAAAGTGTTTGAAATGAAGACTGTCAAATATCTCCTAATTTATTTATTCTTCTTCAATGTTTGTGAAGTGCATGATGTTCACACTTGAAGTTTAGTAGGGGCCTGTAATAACTCATTTAAAAAATGTGTATTTTGGAATACCTGTTTCGAAGTACAGTAGTTTACACGGTGACAGAAATAATTTGGAGCAAGTTTAAAAACACTGCAACAAATAGTTTTTGGTATCACATAAAACTGATTTTTTTTATAGCCAAACCTTTGTTAGTCGGAGGCAATCATGGGTTTTATATATATAATTTGAAAATTTCTAAAATTCACTTTCTCGGCAGCAATAACTTAAGAGCCTTCAAACTATTTCATTCTTTCTTATTTGGTGTCTTTTGCTGGGGGGGATTTTTGTGTACTTTTTTATGAAAAGGTAAATGCATGATGGGATAACTTCCTAGGATTAAAATGAATTTACCTTTTGCTTTACTTCTGTGTCCCTAAAACTATTAACTCTGTTTAGGCCCTGCTCTTGCATTTTAGTTTTAAAGAAAACTTAAGCTACAAATACCAGAAGAAATCATTTTACATTTAGAGATGAGGCTTGGGTGTCAAATAGATCTGATGTAAGTTCATCATATACCGACACTCACACCCCACCACCCCTGCACCTCCCACAACTCCAAAAGCATTTTCAAGTGATGCGGATTTTACCAAAGTCTTACTGCAAAGATGAAAGAGCAATGCATATACACAGAAAAATGTGATCAGACTTTCCTATTAGAGGCCTTTCTTCTATCTCTTTTATCCCCTGACAACTCTACCATAAAGCCCTTCTCATCATCCTTCCTAAAAAGGCTTTATAAATCCTTTGAAGCAATTCAGCTCTTGGCTTCAGCTTACATATCTCACTTAACACACAGTAGTAGGTGTTTAGCACAACAAAAACCAGGCCCTCGGTTGTTCTTCAAGTTTTCCCCTTTGGGGCCTTGATTATTATTCCACAACTTTTATTAACAACAAAAATTCTTGCCTTCTCTGCTTCATCTACGAGTTTTCGAGTGGCAAAAGGTATCCTGCATGTTCATTTTCATAAGCTAATTAATAGAACATAAGGGGGCTTGGAAGTCACGTGGGTAAAACTGATGGTTTGCTAAGATAACAAGTATGATGATGATAATGTTTCTTCATCAAGTTTCATCCTTACAAACTGGGAGTTCTCAGTTTAGGATCTGCAGCTTGGGAGTTCTAAAGCTGAAAAATCTGCATTCATATACAAGTTTACTCAAGAGGATTTCAACAAGCATTTATTTAGTGCCTATTCTATGTTAAACAAGGAGCTGGGTGGTGAGGATAGCAGACACTGGGAGCTGACCTTGCGTCATGCTTTATGGTACGCTATCCTTTATGCTTGAAAATCTCTACAATGAAGGAGGTAGTAGACTCCAAAGCAACGATTTGGTAGTGAATCATGTCGCCTGCCATGCCTCTACCCTCTTCTCCCTGCCATATGTAGACCAGCCTATAACAGAAGAGGATGAGGTCAATGCATAGAACTAGAACCAAGCTACAGACACGCGGTAAATTAGTAGAGTCCCTGAAATCTATTTCAACCATGTGGACTTCCAAACCACATGACCCAATAAATGCTTCAGTTAGCCTGAGCTGTTTTTGGCATTTGTTACCAGGAGAGATCTGATTAATACAAACTCTGTTTCCATCTGCTTACAATTTGGTTAACTCTCTTTCAAAATGAGCCAAATTCAAGCATAAAATAAAGGATAAGAAATGCCCCATGGCCAATTTCCTCTGTTATATTCTTGTCACTAGTGAAATAGCCATTCCTTGAAACATTAAAACAATAAAACAGCCTTCAAGAATATTAAATGATTATTTACAATTCATATTTTTATTTTGTTTTTATCATATTAAATATATTAGTAAACTTAATTCTCCCCGATATGTGTCAATTCCACAATAAATAGTTATAAATTCACAACAAACAAAAAGAAATCAGACAGAAAAGCTGTTAGAAGCAAAGGACACATCTGATATTTTAGATTCATCAAAGAGGGGCGGTTTTCCTTCTGTTTCCTCTAAGTCATCTGTCTTCAGAGGATGATTAAAATGTAAAGTAAGGTCACAAAGCAGCAACTGGGAGAGCTCTGTGTAAAACAAAATAATAGAAGATACTATCTTGGAGCACATACATCAGAGACAACTATTATGACTTTCTTTTTAAAGATTTTATTTTTAAGTAATCTCTACACCTAACATGGGGCTCAGAACCACAACCCCAAGATCAAGAGTTGCATGGTCTACCGACTGAGCCCGCCAGGGACCCCTATTATTACTTTTAGTAGCTATTTCTCATTCTTGAGTTTTCTCCTAAGTGATTATTGATCGGACCACAATTAACTACGCCCCATTATGACAAAGTCAAATTTATGTACTATAAAATAAGCATGACATAAAAATTAGCTAGCAGGCTCTTTAGTTCAACTTGTACACTATCTTACTAAACTGCAACTTGAGTTATACACATTTGATTTATGCTTTTTTTAAACTTACTATTTTTAAGCTATATATGTATACAGTATCAGATAGATCTATAAGGCATGTTACAAAAAATAGTTTGGATCTCCAAGAGGCAACCACTTTTAACTTTTCTTCTCGCTTGTATTGCTTTTCTTGCTTTGTTGTTGTGTGTGTCTGTACTTAGTGTCTTCTGGCTTTGTTTGAGGGCAGGTTGGTATTTGCCTCCGTATCTCTAAACGACATGTATATTTTATTTTTTCAATTGTAGGTATTATCTACCTGCTTCGGACTACAGAAGATTCACTCACCCCCACTCCCCTAGAGAGTACTTAAGAATACAATTTTTGCTAGCTCAATATTTAAAGGTTAAAAATTTTTGATTATATAAATATGCTTCACAGCTGAACTCTGCAGTACATTTCCCTTCTTGCATGGTACCACCCAATCACGGTTAATTTTTTTTCATTACTTAATTATCATAAATATATTCCAAATATATTTGTGCAGATCTCCTTTTGGCATAGTCAGATGCCTTAGCTGTCCAACTGTTGAAAAGTCTATCTTCTCCTAGAGCCTTCTGATCTACTCTGGTCTGGACTGACTGTTCTCTTGGACTGCTCAACTCCGTTCACCACTATCCCAGAGATTCTTTTCACCCCTCCCATATGTGGAGTATCCTTTTTCCAGAATTTCGTTTCTTTCTCTTTTTGGTCTGCTACCTTGTTGGATGGAATAAGACCTCAGTAACTTCCTGAAGGCGGAAAACTTATGTGTGAAAATTTCTTTCTCTACACCAATGCTTAATAGTGACTATAGAAATCTAGATTGGAAATCATGTTTCTTCAGATTTTCAAAGGCCTTGCCACATTTTCTTCTAGCTTCCAGTGTTGCTGTGAGAATTTTCATGATTTTTGTTCTTAGCCATTGTTTCTCTTTAGAAACTTCAAGGATCTGCTTTTCCAGAACAAAATTTCATAGTATTGTACCTTGGGGGTCTACTTTCAACCACTGTGTTGGGCTCTTTCATTATAGAAACTCCTCTCCTTCAGCTTTTTACATTTTTCTCAGATTATTTCTTTAATGAATTCCTCCCCGTGCACTGTATGTGTTCTTCCTTTCTAACACTGCTATCTACTGAATGTTGAACTTCCTTGACTGATCTTATCATTTTTTCTCCCTATAACTTTCCATCTATAATTGTTTTGCTCTACACTCTAGGGGATTGTTTTCATTTTATCTTTAAGCCCTTCTACAGAATTTATTTCTACTGTTGCACTTTTAATTTCCAAGAATTCCCTTCTCTAAACTATTTTTCCTAGGATCATGTTCCTGTTTCATGGACATAGCATCTTTTCTTACTTCCCTTTAGCTATTGACAGTTTCTTGGGAGTTTTCATCTCATTTCATGATTTCTGTGTCTTCCTCATTGACTGAATCTATGTATTGACTTTGTCTCTGCTTTTCATATTAGATGCTTCCATTAAGCATCTATTCCATCAGAGCTATCTGCTCATATTTAAGACTATGGCACTAAAGACTACTGGAAACTCTGTGCCTATGGTAGGCTATACTGGGAGGTGAGTTGGCTGGGTATTTTGTTGGGGGGAACTTCTGCTATCAGTACCTTTAGTTGTTTTTGTTTGTTTGTTTGTTTGTTTCCTTCTCTTAGACTGGTCAGATTCCTGAAAGAAAAATCTGCTTGAGGGCATAAATCTGGCTGCCAAGGTTTTGCAGCCAAGTGGGAAAAGAAAGCTAGAGGGTCTTATAATTCAATATGTAAACTTTGTCCTAATACCCTTGTTTTCAGTATAATACTCTTTCCTTCAATTTGTGGCTAGTGGCTCCAGGCCAGAGAGCCTCTTAGGGAATAAGCTTCAAGTTTTTTGTCCTAGAAAAGGGACAGTTGCCTAGTTATGCAGAGAAGGGAAGAGAACTTAGGGGTCTACAACTTCTTAAACATTTAACCAGCCTTCCTGTCCTTAGCTCCACCTCTACCCCTACTTCCAGAGGATTCTGGTGCCACCATGTATTGAGTCTTTGGGGTCGTTCATTGGCTTTACCCAGCCAGCTCACAGTTCAAATTTCTGGACATTTGGGTTCAGACTTTTCTGTTTACCTCAACTTGCTTTCTATTTCACTATTAACTTTTTTTGAGAGCTCTTTTCCTTGCTGATTTTTGTCTCTTTAAAATCACTTTAAATTTAAATCTCAAGTTTACTAGTGACTAGTTGTGTGACCTTGGGAAAGTTAGTTAACTTCTCTACCTGTTTCTGTAGCCATAAATACCAATGGTAGAATTTCCTACCTCACAAGGTTGTAATGACCATTGAATCTGTTTATACAGGGCTCTTGGAAAAGTATCTGGATTATAATAAATGTTATGTGTCAGCTACTGACATTATTATTTAGAGAAGGAAGTGTGGCTGAAAGGAATGTTGTTCATTTAATCTTCCATGTTTACCAGAAGTCTGCCCAAAAGTACTCTAGCTCTGCAAGTCCCCATATCCTAACTGCCTGACCTACCCCACAGCTTCTCAGGAACACAACCATCATATTTACTAGTTCTATTTTACTTCACAAAAGAATAATCCCCAAAGTAGAACAGTTAGATAATCAAGTTGGAGAGAAATCTAAAGATTCTCTGTTTAAAACATTTTTTTAATGTTTATTTATTTTTGAGGGACAGAGAGAGACATGGCACTAGTGGGGGAGGGGCAGAGAGAGAGGGAGGCAGAGAGTCTGAAACAGGCTCCAGGCTCCGAGCTGTCAGCACAGAGCCCGACGCGGGGCTCAAACTCACGAGCTGTGAGATCATGACCTGAGCCGAAGTCGGATGCTCAACCCACTGAGCCACTTAGGTGCCCCTAAAGCTTCTCTGTTTTAAATGAGGGCAAGCATCCAGAAAACAATTATTCACCTAATAAACATTTCCAAGAACTTATTATATCAAGGCACTGTGTTAATTGCCAGGAATACCCTTAAGGAGCTTACTGTTGAGCAGGGACAGGAAAAGTAAGTAAACATGCAATTATAACACAGTGTGACAGGTAATATGAAAAGGTAAGAGATAGCACGCTTGCTTAAAAAAGTTTTTCCAATGTAAGTAACCTTGACTAATAAGTAGCAGTTAACCTGGTGGGGTGGAGGTGGGGGTAGAGCAGTGGGCATTTCAGAAGATGCATCTGTTAAGATACAGACACGAAAAAAGAGGAACTGTGTAGATGTGCAAACAGTTCAGTATGGCCGTAGCACAGTGTGCTGGGATAAAAGAATAAGATACTGGAGAGGTAGGCAGGGGCCTGATCTCAAGAGGTCTTATAGTCCATTCTAGAAGGTCTGGACTTTATTGTGGGGCAAGAGTGAGCTAATGAGTCACATTTTAGAAAGAAAATTCCTGCTGTATCATTGAGATTGGTTTCGAGAGATGACGAATGAAGCAAAGACAACCAGATTTCTTTAGATCAGATGCCTCAGAGCCTTTGTACTATGAATTTTGGAAAGAAATATACAGCATAAAGCACTTCTCAAATGTATCTGACCCTAAGAACATGGACTCTGTTCTTACTGCACAACACCTATTAATATGTCTTGAGAAAGGAGGGTTCACAGATCGAAGTCTGGGAAATGCTGCCCTAGGAAGAACACGCAGAAGAAAACATAATAGGCACTCACTATTTGGTGCCTAACAACCATTTCCTTCTTCTTGGTGGCACAACTTGATTCCATTTAGGTGATCCTCACCCCACCTCCAACAGTAAGTCCTGACGGGTCCAAACTGGTCTTGGCAGTCCCATTCCCCTTGACAGTGGCCGGTGCAAGCACATGCATTTGACACAAATCCAGCCATGAAAGGAAAGGGAAAACATGCTGAAGGGATCTGGGAAAAGGCTTTTATAGAGACATGAGCAGATACATGTCTGTGGATGGCCACACCTGGAGGTA